TTTTATTTTATTTTATTTTATTTTTAAATTTGCTTGATGGCATGTGAGCTTGATGTAGAGAGAGAGAAAGAGAGCGAGAAAGCATCTCTCCATGGGAGATGGTCATGCCGCTATCCCTCTCCTCCACTTCTCCCTCCTTTCAGGATTTCGAGTATGCCTGCACATGCGCCTGACATATTTCTCAAGCATGTCCAATCCAGGACTCAAACCATGTAGCTGACTATGTGGAAATGCAGCCACCTTCACTACCATGCCGCAGGCCGGCCTGTGCTTTCTTTCTTGGTTAAGGTGCTGGTTTCACAGTTGTGTTCAGTTTATAAACGTTTATTGAAACAGACACTTACCTTAGGTGCATGTATCTGTATATTTTTAAAGACTTTATTTATCTTTACTTATTATTATTTTTTGATTCAACAGAGAGAGAGAGGGAAAGTGAGAAAGCTAGCCGCCGGGTCCGAGACTAGAGCCATAGTCAGTCATGTGGGAGTGGAGTGTCCCAACCTCCACACCACCTGCTGGCCCTGTGTCTGTATATGTATTGTAATAGATCTCAACCGGAGGCAGTGCTGCCCACCAGGAGATAGTCAGCAATGTCCAGAGACATTTTTGGTTGGCATAGCTGGAGGGGTGTGGTACTGGCATCTGCTGGTTAAAGGTCATTTGTGCCATCTGAGCGTGATGAAGGCTGCCTGCCCAGAGTCACAGATGTGTCATCACCTCGAAGCACGCCACCTCCACATTGGGACTCACAGAAAGGAGACAGGGCGGACCCTGACAGGACCTGGCTTCTAGCCATAGACGCTGCCCCTCTCTAGAAGAAGACACCAGACACCCTCCAACATGCAGAGCTGTCCTCGCAACCCAGAAAGATCTGACCCCAAGCGTCAGCCAGGCAAAGTTGAAAAGCCCTGTACTAGGAAAAGAAGTTTAACTGATTTCTAGATGTGGGGACTGATCAGGGTTTAAGTTTGATCGAGGGGGGATGATGCTGTCTTTTTTATGACAGTGATGACTGGCAGAGGCTTGCTCGGGGGGTAGAGCCCAAGAGCCCAGTTTGGACCTGCTGGGTTGTGGACCTGTCAGGTTGAGGTGCTGATTAGGCAGGTAAGGATGATGAGGAGTAGGCAGGCAGTTGAACATGTGAGTCTGGCGCTCCAGGGAGAGGTTAAGATTAGGGATATAAATTTCAGAGTCTTTCACAGAGAGATGCTATTTAAAGCCACGGGGCTAGATGAGATCACAGGGAAGGAGCGGACGCGGAGGAGGGAAGTCCAAGGATGGGGCACAAGGGCAGTCTGTCATTTAGAGGCGGGAAAGAGAACAGGCCACCCTGTGAGGCAGGAGGACCAGGAGTGGAAGTTCCCGGAGACCCAGTGAAGACAGAATTTCAGGAAGATGGAGTAGGATGAGCAGGGCACTTGTATCTGGCTAGTGGAAGGTGGTTTTGAAGAGGGCGATTTGGATGCGGTAGCAGGGTGGAAGCCAGGCTGGAAATAATTGAGAAGAAAATGGGAGTTGAGGAAGTGGAGCAATGAGCAGAGACCATGCTTTGGGGGAGTTTCGCTGTGAGTAGAGGTGGGGAGGGTAGAGGAATGGAATCCTGTCTAGAGGGAGACAGGGCTGATGAGAGACTTTTTTTTCTTTTTCTTTTTTTTTTTTTTTGAGAGGTTTTTGCTATAGGGTGTGTACACTCACCAGAAAGACAGAGAGAGACAGAGAGACAGAAAGACAGAAAGAGAGAAATCACCCCTCAGGGGAGATGGCCACACTACAATCCCTTCTCCATTCTCCTCTTGGGATCTTGGGCATGTAGGCACATGCACCCGGCATGAGTTTAAGCCACTGGGCCCAGGACTTGAACTGCGGTCGACTACATGGGAGCCCAGTGACACAGCCATTACGCCAACTGCTGGTCCCTATGAGAGATTTTTTAACAGGATGTTTAATAGTCGTATTGAGTACTGTCTGTGTGCCAATAGAAGTGGGTCATTCCTGAGCAAGAAATAGAAGAGTTGGGAGAGAGACCCCTCCCCCACGAGCTTGGGAAGCGATTCTCCAAACTCCTCCTTAAACCCCCACCTGGGCTCTGGGTCCAGAAGATGATCGGGTCTGATCTAACCCATCACTTCCACTCACCTACCTCTACCCTCCGGTCAAGTCCTTCTGTTGTGCTGCGAGGTCAAATCCACACTCCTTAGTCTGGTATTCAGGCCTTTCTCCCGGCTACCCCAGATCACCTCTCTTACCTACGAGTCCTCTCTGCTCCCTCCTATCCGCTGCCACCACCACACACCCGAGTTCTAAGCCAATTACAGAGCACCCTGCTTTTTCTCTTCCCTGGCATGCGCACCAAGAGTTCGCACCCATATTCAAATCCTGCTATCCCCACTCACTAGCTATGAGCCTTGGGTGAATTGTTATCTCTGTGTCTTAGTTCCTCATCTGTAAACAGGGGGTGGGTGATGCCAGTAATCAGCAGCTCTAAGGTAACAGCGGTTCTTGCCTCACAGGGCTGTGGGGACACACACCAAGCTCACGGAGCAGTGTCTGACAGGGTGCTCTCCGAGGGCTGGCTGCTGTCATCATGGCCACGGCCCAGGTCACCTTCACTGATGACTCCTGGGCACTCTGGTCACTGCCAGTGTCTCACTGTATAAGTAACGCTGCGATTATCCTTCTCGGTGGTGTTGCAGGCTTATGCACGTGTGAGGGTTGGAGAGTCAGTATTCTGTTAGGTAACCGGACCTAACAGTAAGTTACCCTCTGAGAAGACTGTGCCACTTGTTCAGGAAGAAGCTTTTTTTTTGGGGGGGGGAGGTTTTTGCTACAGGGCACGTGTGCATGCCAGAGAGACAGAGAGAGACAGAGAGACAGAAAGCGAGAAATCACCCCCAGGAGGGATGACCACGCCACAATCCCTTCTCCTCCATTCTCCTCTTGGGATCTTGGGTACGCACACACACGTGCCCGGCGTGAGTTTAAGCCACCGGGTCCGGGACTCGAACCTTGGTTGACTACATGGGAGTTCAGCGACATAGCCATTACGCTAACTGCTGGTCCCCAGGAAGAAGCTCTTAGTCATCCTTCCCAATTCAGTTCCAGTGCAAAAGTCATCTTGGCTGGAAATATTCCCCAACCTCAGCCACAACAGAGTTATACACATGTGCACGCGCACACACACACACACACACACCAAGGATGACACACTGCAGGCTCTCCCCATGTGGTCCCACCTCAGCAGCCACAAAATAGCCCTCATGACTGAGGGGGTGGAGCCGGAGCCCACTTTAAGCAAGCTCTGGGGGCGCTCTTGTGCAATGTAAATTGTGAGAACTCCTTGAGGACAGGGGCATAGTCCACTTCCTTTCTCTATCCCCAGTGCCCAGCCTAGGGCCCAGCTTCATGAAAAGGCTCAATAAATCTTTTTTTTTTTTTTTTTTTTTTTTTTTTTGAGGATTTTACATTGTCGGGGGGTGCGCGCG